AACAAATGGAAGAAATGATTAAATTTGGAAGCCACACCTTCAGGATTCCAAACTAGTATAAGTATTTGGGTGCGCTGGTCACATCAAAGAATGAGCACCAAGAAGAAATTAAGGCAAGAGTAGCTGCTGGAAATAGATGCTATTACGCTCTTTAAAAACCATTAAAATTCATAGACCTGACCAACAGAACTAAGGTCATATTATATAAAACAGTCATTACGCCTACAGACTTGTGCAGTTTCCAAGGAAACTGAAAGAATGTTAAAAGTTTGGGAAAAGTAAAGTACTCAGAAGAATATATGGAACTGTCTGCGACAACGGCAACTGGAGAATAAGAAAGAACGTCCAAGAACCAGATCTGTTTCCTTTTGTTAGGAGGAATCAGTTGAGGTGGCTGAGACATGTGGAGCTGATACCGGCGAAAAGGATACCCAAAATATTACTTGATGGTAAGCCCGTAGGAGAACGAGTCAGAGGACGTCCACGATTAAGATGGTAAGATGGAATGGAGAGAGTGTTGAAAGAGATGGAATCAGAGGATGGAGAAGATTCGCCCAGGATGTAGGATTGTAGAGGAGGCCCATGCCATTGTAGGGCTGTAGCGCCATGGAGTAAGTAAGTAATTGGTAGGCTTTGTGTTATTAGACCTCATAAAAGTCCCTTTTATCAATGGCCCAAATAAATTTAATCACAGTTTCTTCAAAGAAAATTTTGTTTACTTTACGGTGGTGTACTGAGAATTTAATTATCTTGAACAGTTTTTTTGTACAATTCTTTCTTAATCCATAAAAAAACTTGACAACCTTAAGAAAAATAAAAAAAATTTTTTGTTTGAAATTTTGTCTGGAATCACTCGCAGAGTTTGGCCATTAAGAACCAGGATACAAATTTATATAAAAAGTATATAAAATATAAATTATATAAAAAGTATAAATACAAAATTAATTGATTTTTAACAATTGCTAGTTAGTTTCCATTTAAAGTAGTTTTTTTTTATATATGAAAACGAATGACCATTACGCAATAATTATTCAGGGGGTTTCATGGTTAAGTGGCCAAACTGCAAAAATGAACTAAGAATCTCAAGACAAGAAAAAAATTTCCATTAAAAGTATGTCCGCAAACGCTTTGTTTAGGAGATATTCACACTTAAAGATTTTCATTGTTATGAATTATTGAAGTTATATGAAATAAATAAAACCTATTTATTTGTTCTAACTACTTTATTAATTAAATGCAAACAATAAAATTCATATTTTTTATTTACTGACTATTACACTAATCTGTCACATGGACACTAGTTATAATGAGGTAGGATGACATTCACACTATATGCACAATAAATATATAATAAATATAAGCAAAATAACAATAAATAATAATTAAAAAGTTTATACAATAAATAAAATAAAATAATCTAAAAATAAGAAAATTAAAACTAAGCAAAAAACACACGCATACCTATATAAACATTCATATTAAATGTTATTCAATGTGATTTCCTTGAGCATTAATACAATCTCGGCATCTTTCTTCAACAGCAGGTGTGGCAGAACAGCACTGGATATGTGTTATTGTTTCACAAGATTCATTGATCCTTCTTTGTAAAGAATTAAGGCCATTGACCGGACTTGCATAGACTTTGTTTAATGTCACCCCAAACAAAAAAATCCAGTGGTGTCTGGTCTGGAGAGCGTGCAGGCCAAGCCACTGGATATGATTGGGGATATGGTTGAGCTAGTCCGGTCAATGATCTTAATTCCTGACAAAGAAGGATAAATGAATCTTGTGAAACAATAACACATATCCAGTGCCGTTCTGGCACTATTGCTTTTGAAGAATGATGCCGAGCCTGTCTTAATGCTCAAGAAAATTACTTAAAACAACATTTAATATCAATAATAATGTTTACATTTAATTAATAAAGTAGTTAGAACAAATAAATAGGTTTTATTTATTTCATATAGCTTCAATAATTCATAACAACGAAAATCTTTAGGTGTGAATACTTCCTAAACAAAGCGTTTGCGGACATATCTTCAGAGGAATTTTTTTTCTTGTTTTGAAGTCCGTAGTTCATTTTTGCAGTTTGGCGAATTAACCCTGAAACAACCTGTACAATGGATAAATTTAAAATATAAGAGATGAAAACAAATTTGCCAATTATACGTCGATTCCTAAAAAAAAGTATTATGTTACTAAAATAACAAAACAGGTATATACCACAGATATAATACGAATGAAAAGTTCTAAGTATCCAAATATACAATAAGGAACTATAAATTATTTATTTTCCATAAATTATAATGACAATGAATACAACGGTGTTTACATATACATAAAGGGAAGGAGAGCATAATGCAACACCCGACACCAGGCCATGTTGAAGCTATCGCTTTCCGATATGGCCCTCTCATTTACATAAAGACACCTGTCTCTTCCAGCAACTTTGCATAAACTAAGTCACTCACGACTTAATTCTAGAATAATCGAAATAAGTTCTCGTATCAGTAACAAAAACAATAAATTAGAAAATACTAGTAATAATTTACACATTCAGAGCTGATTCGAAATTATCATCAATCGAAAAAAATCTATAACCAATTGACTGTTGAGCAATCAATTTTTATTTTATTTTATTTTTTTTTAACAATCTTCCTTTATACATTTTCTTTTAAAAAATTGTATTACTTACTTACAGAGTTGAGCGAAAATCACCCGATTGATAACTAAATCTTTAGTTACAAAAAATAATCATAACTAATATCTAGACAAGTGGGAATGGGGTAGCTCAGTGGTAGGGCACTGAGCTTCCAATGCAAAGGTCCCAGGTTCGAACACTGGCTCATGGCAGAAAATTTATTTATCTGTTTCATTGGCCCTGGAGCGACCCTGGATCGGGAGACCCTCCTGAGGCACACCCAGCCTCTATAAAGTGGGTACCTTTAGTTAAATAATTAATTAAGGGCGAAAACCTGGCGGTTGGGTGTGATCTCGGTCAAATCACCTCCTTGCACAACTGTTGACCTAGAAACAGTGCTTTTCCTAAATAGTACTGAACCCCAGATCCTTTATGGGTTGTAGTGGTACGGGTTTTTTTTTTTTTTTTTTAATATCTTGACAAGTAGTACCCTTTTATCAAATACGGACATCTGTTATTTTAAAAAAAGTAACAAAATAGCTAATTTTTGGTTTATATGTTCAACTCGAACTGTTACTGATCATTTTATTTTAAAATGCTCAAGTTTATTCATGAACAAATATCATTAGAATCGGATTACATTAAAACGATATTACAAAAATTTATTTTTTTTCTCAACTTTTTAAATTGATAGATATCTTTCTTTGATATAAAGCCAGTCATATTTAGTCATAACTAAAATAGGACGAGTAGTTAGACAAGAATAATAGTTACTCCAAACGACAAAAAAATTATCCATTACTGATGAATAGTGTTTTAGTAATATTCATCATAAATTAAGAGATTAGAATAAAACCTTTTCTTCATAACAATTCCCGACAACCCTCCTAGGAATCTGGAAAAAAGATGGCAGAGAGACCGGCTAAATTAATCTAATCATAGAAGTCCTCCGATAAATAGATTCTTCCCAAGTTCAAGTCATGTTCTGTAATTTAGTAACAAATTTAATTGTTCTATTTATTTACACAGTTGTCTAACATAGAACCAACATACCAGACAATTAAATTTTCGAACATCAAACGCATCTAATTCTTCCAGTCTAAAGTCCTCCATATAATAGTCAATGCTCCTTATTATGTTACGAACAAAACCTTACATCAAGACCTTAACATCCCGTATGTCCTTGACGTTATTCCATCACGATTTTCAAATTTTCATCAGAACTTATTACATCATCCTAATCCCTTAGCATAATCCGTATCAAGTTCCAGTCATCCATATAACCCTCCTCGAAGGTTGAAGCGGCAGTGGCCCTGAGATCTTTTGTAAATACGTCACTGGAGTTCTGGCAATGGCCACCTTCTCCACACAAGCCATGAGCGTATGTGGCTTTAGTGCCCTTTCTTAGTCACCACTCGATCTCCATCTCAGTGATGCGGCTGAGAGAGAAGCGCTGGGATCTCTTGGAGTCCTGCCTTATCTTCCACACGTGGAGGATAATACACAACTCGGAGCTCCCTCGGCTGACTGTAAATATTGTAAATAAGTATGAATGTGTTTTTAATTTTATATTTTATGTTGTCTCATGTTTGATTTATTCTGTTATTCCAAGTTTTCTTTTGTTATAATCTTGTTTTTCTTTTATTATGGTATGATTGTGTTCCATACATCCTAAATACTCAATGCCCTTAATTGAGGCAAAATGTATTTTTATCTCAATAAAACTATATTTATATATATATATATATATATATTATATATATATATATATATATATATATATTATATATATATATATATATATATATATATATATATATATATATAGTTTTATTGTAACTGTTTATATATAAACTATATATATATATATATAGTTTTACTGTAAATATTGTAAATAAGTATGAATGTGTTTTTAATTTTATATTTTATGTTGTCTCATGTTTGATTTATTCTGTTATTCCAAGTTTTCTTTTGTTATAATCTTGTTTTTCTTTTATTATGGTATGATTGTGTTCCATACATCCTAAATACTCAATGCCCTTAATTGAGGCAAAATGTATTTTTATGTCAATAAAACTATATATATATATATATATATATATATATATATATATATATATATATACAGTTGTAAATTTCAATAAATAAATAAAAAATAAGGTGAACAAAATTTAAGTTAGGAAGTCATAGGCTTAAGATGAGGGTAAAAGTGATTTGTTGCGACAATGTTTTAAGCCTAAAGTTGATTTTACCAAATTTTAAATCTTTAATCACGTCATACATTTAAAGAGAATAAATATATTCAAATCCATTATATGAATATATAACATACAGCAAATACATTATATTTAATGCGCAGGTTCACTTGCTGTGGCTATGACTGGGACGGCCTTCGTCTGGTTCGCGCCACTGATGATGTTCATCGTCTCGGAGAACTCTCCCATCCCGATGACCACGACGGAGAGTTCTTGGCTGGTGTCATCGATAGAGTTCGGAGAGATCATCGCGGTTTTGCCATCTGGGATATTGGCTGATGTGTAAGTGTATTATTTATTAACGAAATCAAATTCGTTGGTCTGCTTGTAAGTGCCCGAAACGACGAGGTGCCGAAACCCCAGAGACAATTTTCGATTCTATGTATAATTTTAAACTCATGCTGGATCACAAAGCTTTTATATCTGTGGAAGTGAGGAAACGAAAAAAAAAAAAAAAATTGAAATCAAGAAATTTATTCTATTTGATTTTACTTTCAAATGTAATAGGATACAAACCAACATATCGCAAAAGAAAAACATTCAAAGTCGAATGTGAGTATGATTTTGGCTCTAGCGGATCCAGGATTTAATTTTTTTTTGGGGGGGGGGGGCTTTAGCCCGAAAGATTTTTTTTAAAAATATATAACGATACTTAATTTAAAAAAAAGAAATTCATCTAAACTGATTTTACAATTAATAACTCAGAATTGATTAAACTACATGATTGGTAATAGGTTTGCCTCTGAGCATGAACCCATCTCGAACAGTTGGTCTGACTAAAACGTCACTATGAGTTAATTATTTGACAGCTGAAGGAGTTTAATTCATTGTCTGGCCAACTTGGTCAATTAATTCTTCTCCTTAGGAAACGCTGTTAGTTTCAATTAACTTCCAGTATAGCTTGCATCCATCCGGCCATAATGTTTAAACGCATGAATAATGTGATTAAGTAGATCATTTAAATACATATAACTTATTAGATACGTTTAGACTGTATTATATGTTACTAGTAGATCAGGATATTTGTTTACCAATGATAGTCTCTATCATTTTTTACGTTGTTCTTAGAGAACTTTTCGATCACCAGCACCATATTCGTCTCTATAACACATTATAATCAATAAATTTAACAATTAATAATACATAATGTTACATATTTTTTTTAAAAAAATGTTATTAAAAACCATAATATACTGGAATAGTGTTCCTTCTTCGTCTCATATTTTGTCTAATATTATTTTGAATTAAAATTTTTGATTAATTAAATAAATTAATAAATAAATAAAATAAAACAAAATTTATTTACCAACTTTTCAGAGAAAAGGCTCCTTTGTCCTGGCATAATTTTACTGAATGCTGAACGATTACTGTCAGCAAGCACCATCTATATTACCGAGCAATTTAGAAACTAAAAGTTACCAAAGTTCCTATTGTATTCGCTATTTTTTTAATATATATTTTTATAATTGGCTATTTAGTTGTGGTATATAAGTCGCTTCCTGTTTTGAATTTAGCCGCGATGTATTTTGGTTTATTGCGATGTATATGGTTTCTAATCTTTCGATCAGGAGTTGAATTTTCAAAGTATTTTAATATTACCAAACAATTATATTTAAACATTAGACATAGACAATTTAAAATTCTCTCTCGAATCCAGACACCCTATACGAAACTTATTGACAAAGATAAAAGACCCAACACCTATTCAGAACCATATAAATTTAGTTTATAATATACCTTGTCACTAGCGGATTTAGGATTTAATTTTGGGGAAGGCCTCAGCCCTTGTTTTTCATATATATATATATATATATATATATATATATATATATATATATATATAAATATATGTAACTTTCGAGCTGAAGCCCCCTCCCCCCAAAATGTAAAATATAACCAAGTTTTGTAAAAAATAATATTAAAACTATCTCTTAAAGTATTATTGTTCGTGTAATTACATTTAATAGGACTTCAAGAATCACTTAAACACCATGTCAAATAGGTAGTTAGTTTCATTCTTTTTTTTCAAATTATTTATTGTTTTTAATATATATATATATAATATATATATATATATATATATATATATATATATATATATATATATATATATATATATATATATATTAAAAACAATAAATAATTTGAAAAAAAAGAATGAAACTAACTACCTATTTGACATGGTGTTTAAGTGATTCTTGAAGTCCTATTAAATGTAATTACACGAACAATAATACTTTAAGAGATAGTTTTAATATTTATTTTTACAAAACTTGATTATATTTTACATTTTGGGGGGAGGGGGCTTCAGCTCGAAAGTTACATATATTTATATATTTATATATATATATATATATATATATATATATATATATATATATATATATATATATATATATATATATATATATATATATATATATGTATGTAAATTAAAACCCAATTCAAAAACAACTACTGCTTTATCTGATCACGCAAAAAATCATAGACAAGAAATAGATTTTGATAATATTAAAATACTCTACAAATCTAACTCTCGATCAAAACATTAGAATCCATATATCGCAATAATACAAAATAAAGCGATGAAATCAAAACAGAAAGTGGCTCACATGCCACAACAACACTTGCATATAATATCCAACCAAAAAATATATATAAGAAAAAGTATGCCTAGTATGGTCAATATGGCCGTTTTTATTTGCAAAAAAATATCTATATTATAGTATATGGTAATGGTCACTGAAAGCTGCTTTAAGAATAAAGTAGTTTAAAAAAAATATAGAGACTATCAATGGTGAACAAATATCCTAATCTACTAATACATATATCTTTTTATAATTCTAGAAGATATGATATAATTTCCATAATGAATAATTCGTGGAATACAATAAGAAATATAAATGTTCTGATCAGGGTCAAGTTATATTACGCTATATCTATTCATGGCAGCCATTAAAATAATCTTATACAAAATTTACGTTTTTCTTATCTCCTTTAATTTCCTCTAGAAGATTATTTGAAATAAATTTTAGCAGTTAATAGTCAATATAATACAGAATTTTCATAAAACTATAATTATATATAATGACCAAAATCTTTTAATAGCTCTTTTTAATTGTGTCTCGTTTATTGATACAAAAATGAATAAATGAAATGTAATGAAAAAGTGATTCGAATAAATATAATCAAATCGAAATAATTTCTTGATGTTTAATTTGTTTTCTTTCTCTCTACCACTTGTAGAGAAGCTTTGTGCTCCAACAGCAAGTTAAAATTGTGCTCAGGATTAAAAAATTTTCATTGGTTGATCGAGTTTTACATTTTTGACATCAACGAACAGATTTGATTTCATCGATGCTGTATTACATTAATTTCGTCTAAGTCTATCTTTAACGGACATTTAATTCGGCCAAAAGTTGGATAAAAAAATTATTATAGGATTTAAATCCCCTTAGATTAATGACATTGTTTATCCACATTAGTCTTTTGCAAGAACAAATACAAAATGGTTTTGTCAATTACCTGTTAAGAACAATAGTAATTAAAGAAATAAATAATTCCCAGATAGTTGCTATGGTTTAAATAAGAAGTATTTGGCGGAATAGGAGATGTTTGAAGGAATACAGTCGAAGATTGACTAATGGAAATAGATAAAGGGTTTAAAAAGTAGATTGACAAATGATAAGTGATTTACCATATTAAGTCGTTTTATAGGAGAGGATTTATAAAGCAACAGGTTGGGATTTTGTATTTATAAAATTAATCGAGAGATTGACCTATGGTAAAGAATTATTGGATGCAGGAGGTTTCCTGGTTCTAAGGACTTGGAAAAGGAAAAATCCTTCAGGGAATAGGATAAAGTCCCTTCAATTTGGTGTGCCAGCAAGAAACATTTTGCGATTGGGAATCATATAATAAATGATTAGGAGAATCTTATTGTGAATGATTAGGCAAATATGAATCTTATGAAAACATTTATACAACCCTTTAGTCTCATCTCCAGCTTCATAGGGAGTTCTGTATATATTAAGTAACAGTAAATAAACTGGAGGAAAACAAATGAGGTCTGAAGGAGCTGTCCGGATTTGTCCGTTCTAGCCCTGAACAAGATCTGCAAAGTTGGGTCGAAACGTTGGCTTTTTACAAGATAGTTTTGCCAATATTTAATATATTTATGACCGCCACCCCGAACCATCTCCTTCCTTAATAATACAACGATCAACTATCAAATATTCAATCTTCATTTTATAAACTCCCATGTCTCTCACCACCATGCTGAGTTGAAGTGGCTTTTTCCCTCCTTCCGAAGACAATATTTCCTAGGTAAGTTCCTCTACCAAATCATCAACAATCATCGTCCTTCTTACGCCTGCAACCTTCTCCAGTTAAAATCCTTCGTAAAATCTTCAATGCTCCTTACTTTGTCACAAATAAAATCATCCATAAAGACCTTGATGTTCCATATGTTTCCGATTTGGCCCAATCCAGATACCTATCCTTCCATAACAAACTGCAGAACCATCCGAACCCTCTCGTTTCAAACCTTGATTCCTCCTCGATCCCTGATAACCCTCCGAGGCGTCTGAAAAGAAGATGGCCTCGGGACCTTCTGATATAGAACTTTAATTTGAGTTCTACCAATGGGTAGTTTCTCTTCATGTTGTACATGTCATGTTACCAATGTCACATGTACTTATTGTATTTTCCATGTAATACAGTTGTAAATTTCATTAAAATGAAAAATAAAATTTATTTTTTCTATTGATTTTATTTTGGCCAGATGTATCTTTTAATTTTGTTCTATTTTGTTATTTTCAAGGGTCTATGTCCCAGAATAAAGTTATTTTCTATCTGTCTATCTATAATATTTATTTTGAATTTTGAAATTAATATTCATTCTTATCTGGCAGTTTTGGTCGTAAGTCACTCATCCTGGCAACTGGGCCGGTCTGTGCTGCCACCTTCATCTTCAAGGTGTACGTCAGGTCGCTTACCCTGATGTACGTCCTTCGGTTCCTCCAGGGTGTCTGCATGGGGGTGGCCTACGCAGTCTGCCCGATCTACATCGCCGAGATCGCCGAACCACGTCTTAGAGGCGGCGCATCCAGCCACTTCCAAACTCTCTGGTACGGTGGTGCGCTCTTCGCCTACTGCGTCGGCCCTTACGTCAGCTACCAGAGCTACGCTTGGATCTGCCTGACGATACCACTCCTCTTCACGGCCACCTTCTTCCTCATGCCGGAGTCGCCTTACTATCTGCTCATGAAGGGTCGTAAGGACGAAGCTAAAAGGGCGCTAACATGGTTAAGGGCTGGCAAGGAAGTCAACGAAGAATTCAAAGCGATGGAGGACACCATTGAGAAGGAATATCTGTGCAAAGGTGAGTCATTTACAGAAAATTAGTAAATTAAACTTTGAAAGAAATGTACGTAATATCTTAAAAGAAAAGTTTCAATGTAGAAAACTGACCTGGCAAAATAACTAAAAAAAAAATAAAAATAAAAATAAAAAAATTAAAAATTATTTCCCTTCCATCAACTATCATCTCCTATCAAGACATTATAATGGGCCTTGGCTTCCTGAATCATAGCATGCCAATCGCTATTGCTCGCTCTTTCCTTCCAATTCCTCACGCCCAGTGTTCTAAGGTCGCCCTCAACATCTTGTAGTCATCTTTTCCTTGGTCTTCCCCTTCTTTTTGTGCATTGTAGAGAACAATGCCTTATAAGGCATCCTGCTGTAGTCCATTCTAACCAGGTGGTCTAACCATTCCATACGCCTAATTTTAACGAAATTAACTATGTTGGGGCTGTTATATAATTCATATAGCTCCGCGTTTTTTCTATAGCTACACACCCTCTTCACAAACAGCTCCATAAATTTTTCTCAATATTTTTCTTTCCAAAATATTCATCATACTAATTGTGCTAGTACAAAGGGTCCATGTCCATGTCACTGCATAAGTCACAATAGGTCTTACTAAAGTCATATATAATCTTATCTTTGTTTCTCGTGACAGGAGCGATGATCGAAAAAATTTTAAGTTGGCATAGTACGCCCGGTTTCCAGCCATGATTCTCTTGTACACCTCAGCAGCAATTTTATTTTCAGAATTCACTTCTACCCCCAGGTATGTGAATTTTTTGACAGGTGAGACCACATATTTCAATGCTCTGTGGACCAGCCTCATTGTCGGCTCCGACATACATGTATTTTGTCTTATCTTGATTGATTTCCAGCCCAACATTTTCACCTACGGCTTTCAATATTGCAAATATTTCTTTTATTAATTTTAAATTCCTGGTAATTTGGCAAATATCGTCTGCGTAAGCACATATTGCACATATTTGTGTTAAGTATGCAACCAGGTGAATCCAGTTTTTTCAACACATTATTAAGTGCAATATTAAATAATGTGGCAGACAAAGCATCCCCTTGCCAAACCCAATCCGTCATTGGAAAGCTATTGCTTACATTGCCCATGAAGCGTTATTGGTTTGCCATTAATACCGTCAAACATCCATTTTTTTTTATTTTTTTTTTTTCTAATAATGTCCAACTTCAGAAATATCTTCCCAATATTCGCTGCACTGTTGACTGACCCATGCAATCTAGCGGAACAAATCAGAACACTGTTCGTCATGGTCGTGTCCAAATTAGCCGTGGTAAGTTACTAGAAAACTACAAATCAACAGAAAAGTTCAATTAGTATCAATTATATACGTCTAATAAATACAAGCACGTTTCAAGAAAAACATGCTTAAAAAAATAGACTATTTCTAAAATCAATCGTGCAATTATTGTTTATGTATAAATTTGTTTTTTGTACAGTCCTTGAAGGACCACTATAACATAATTTTATATAGTTTCTTACTATTTCTTACAGAGTTAAAATTAAAAAAAAAAAAAAAAAAAAGCGAAAATTTCTTATTCTTTTTTTGCTCAACCAAAATAATAAGGAAGCTATATTTACAAAATGAATAGTTGGTTTTTTTTTTTTTTATCATTCTATATATTATTTCTTTAAAGTGTTTTTTTGTCGGTACGCCAAAACTTCGTCAGTTCTTCGTCAAATCCAAAGATTGACCGCTCATTTTGAAGATATTGTTCTTCTTCACATGCAAAAAATACCTCCCGAAATTTCTGGAAAAATTTATGAAGGAAAAGAACCTTTATTTGCGAATAACTCAAAAATTATGCATTTTTTTCTGGATTGAACTCCATGATAATTAGAAAGATAATTAACTTACCTACAAAACAAAAACAAATCGTAAAAATCGGACAATTATTAACAAAGATACAGTCCATTAGTTCCTCTTTAAAGATATGGCATTTAGGAGTAGAATAGTTTTTTCCTGGCTGATGTATTAACTTAGGATTTCTTAAAGGCATTTGTTTGATCTTTTATTTTATTTTTTTTAATAATTTAGAAAATTCCATGGTCGGAACATTATATTGTCTTTATTACTTTTATTATCTTTCCAGTTAGCATTTAAAAATAGGTTCTAGCAAGCAATTTGTATAAATATTTTGTATATTGTGTTAAATGGAATATTGTAATCGACTAAGGAAAAAATATTAATTCCTTACTGACATACTACATAGGATCTACTTATTTCCATATTGTTTTGCTATTTCTTCACTTAACAAAATTTTCTGAAAATTTGTCGCATGGGCCAACTAGTTATATATAAGGCAAACACTTTTCCGGCTCTCAACAGCGATGAATTTTGATGAATAAAAAGTTAAACGAAAGGGAATTTCATTGAGAGATTTCAAAACAAAAGGTTTCAAATATTGACGAAGCGAAAGAGGATAAGTTTTATTTTATTTATTTTGGAAAGAACAACGAGATTATTATAGTTTGTAAGAAATAAGTACCTAAAGTTCGAGTAAAAATTTTCGAATCCGAACAAAATTTCAATCTCCCGAACGAATACATACCTTCCTAGTGAAGAAGCAAAAAAATTAATTTAATAATAATAAAATTAGAAAATCAATCCCATCTTAACATTACATATTTATAATCGATTATTAATAAAGTTGAACTCTGCATAAATTCAAAATAGTTGGATGCCTTCCACTCATGAACGAAACTCAGTGACTTTTGTAAGTAATGCATATAACCGAATTAAGTCACTTGTGTCCAGAACAAAAATACGAGATGCAATTTCGGATTCTGTGGATAATTTTTTTCATATTACTTTGCTATTTCTAAACAAATTTTTTTGTGAATTATTAGCACTGGCCAACTAGTTACACATTATTATTATGCAAAGTATTTCTAAAAAAATAAATTTAGATTGAACTATTTAGGGTTCTGGAATTTATTCAAAGGGATCATTCAGTCATCATATATACACATTTATTTTCATTTCATCGAAAACTTTACAACAGAACGTACATTACTATTGACGTTATTTATTAATATTGAATACTACAAAGATTATTTTTTAAATAAAATATTGTCGTGTCAGATGATAATAAACCAGAAAGAAAATTGAATAGAAATATAAAATAGTTCCAACCAATCTGAGTCAGAGATTTTCGATTCGAAATTCATCGGCATTAGATCCATTGAACTTGAGTACCGAGACTTCGCCAACTACAAGTCATGGCCCCCAGAGAAGTTGCTCTCTAAATCTCGCCTTGAAAAGGATGAGTTCCAATGCAGGGACCAACTCCATTGCTTTGTCAACTTCGGGTGCAGAATATAGAACGACTGATGATGGCAGCTTTAATGGTTTACCCAGTATCTCAACTTCACAAAACTTTACAACTGCTTCGTGACTTTGTGTCAGCAAAGTTTTAAATGGACTATGCAAAGTACTTACAATAATAAAATTGTCTCATACGTTAAAATAATATTAAATATCTCATATTGAATTCAAATAATACCAAGCATTGTTTATAAACTGTAGAATAGAAAAAACACTCCCTTAAATATTAGTTTGTAAATAATTTTTCCATGTGAATATTTCCTATACATAATTTTCATCAAATTCATGTTGTCGTTTCATGCTCCTCATCGTACTATTAATTTTTTATCTAACATATTTATTTTATTGAGAAATATTATAATCTGTATCAATTAAGGACATTTATAATTGTCTTTATAAAGCAAATTCACACTCTATATACAATAAATTAAACGAAAAATAATGATACTAAAATTAAATGTATTTAATCAAAAGCAGCTAAACTAATCTAAATAACCAACACGAGTTTGTTTTTAAATAAAAAAATATAAATTTTTGGACGTCATTTTATTGGAAGATTTTTTTTCATGACGTTTACTAAAAGATTCATAACTCCGCAGGTTTTTATCCGATGTTTTTATCCTACGACCTTGGAAAGCTAAATTATTGCTCTTCAATATGGATAACTTTGATATTTCACTCTTTTCTAAGGAATAAATTAATAAAAACTTCTTAAACATTTTTACTTTATATCTCCAAGCCTAATTTATTAGCGGGATTCTGGTTTGTCATTTTGTGTATATTATAGGCCCCAATATTTTCTTTCTTTTCCATTTTGCCAGGCTAAGCCACAGCAGAGTGTGGCCGGGTAAAGCTAGTTGTATATAAGAATTTGTTTAATGCAATAAGCAATATTTTATTTTTATTTTTTTATAATACAAAACTGATTTTCCATGACAATACAAAACTGATAGCTCCAATATTGACCCTATTACCCAAATGTTCTCGTTAATATATCCTAAGAGCTATTATACTAAATTTATTACTAGTATTTTGTTATTATTCATTGTAACAGGTCTTTTGGCCAGATTTATTGTTAGTTTATAAGAACAATACTGTTATTCTTAAGGGACCTAGTCCCAGAATAAAGATGATTTTTCTATTCTATTCTAAATTCATTCAGAACAAAGTCAGAAAACGGTACCATAAAAAAATAATAATTTTTTTTTAAAAAATCGGTTTCTAGGGCGCATTGGGAAGAACAAGTGTTGCCCAAAATCATTCTTGGTATTGCAAGACAAATACCAAGACCAATGCTAGAAAAAAATCGATTTTTTGAATAAAATTAAGGCCAAATTGTTACTAATACTTAACAATTTTAGCTACTATATTAAAGAATTGGTATGACCAATATACTTTTGCATTTAACTCTTCTAATTTTTCATTTGGGCTTAGTTCGGTTTCTTCTATCTAAAAAATTACAGTAATATCTCTATAGTGATAAGGTAATAACTAACTGCAAGACTGTTTCGAGACTTTTGCGCAAGACCAAGACCAAGGTCAAGACTCGTCTTGGTCTCGCATTTGGGCAACATTAGTAAAAACCCTTGGACATGGGTCTAATATTTTTCGACCTAGCATCATCAAAAAATGTTTCATTGAAATCGGTGATCCCACGTCCGTAACCTTCCCTTGTAAGTTAATCATTAAAAATCCACGTGGATTGAATCTAGGATTTGGAGAGCCCACATCTTTTAACCGCTGAAGGTGGTTCAAATACTTGTTTTGATTTTCCACTAAATATAAAGTCTTAAACCATAATAGACATACTGCAGTGAGCAGAAATTTTCAGATACTTCAATCTAATGCCATTCTTCCAAATTAAGAAGCCATGTTTTAAAAACATATAATTATTTTCAGGTTCTTGGAAAGAGCTCTTCAACACGAAGAAGGACCGGAAGGCTTTCATCATTGTCCAGGTCTGCTGCATCACCAAGTACATGAACGGAATGAGCGCATTAGTCACGTACCTTTCCCAGACGTTCGGCGAAAGCAGTTCGCAATATCTTGGCCACAACGAACTTACCATCGTGGTCGGAGTACTCCTCACTGTGGTGACTCTCTCCTCTTCAGTCATGTCGGACAAAATAGGAAGGCGACCTATGCTCATGTTTTCCTCCCTGGGTTGTTCACTGTTCCTCTTGGTCATAGGTGGCTACTACTTCCTCGAGTTCGAGACTGATTTCGATGTCAGCGGATACGTCTGGATCCTCTACTTGTCCATGTTGGGCTACATCATAGTGGCCAACGTGGGCCTAGGGCCGCTGATGCAGACGATACAGGCGGAGTTCTTCTCTTCCAGGACGCGAGGGATCGGCGGAGGACTGACACTGATCGTTGGATCACTGGGGGCCTTCTGCTGCATCAAGCAGTACCAACTAGTACAGGTGAGGAATAGTATAATTTCTATTGTAAAATTAATGTAGAAATTTCTTAAGAATTACCTTATAATAAATTCGATTAGCTAACAACTTACAACGCAAAATGTGCCTAATATTCCGCAAAACTAAGATTCACCGCATCGGCGTGCATTGAAGTCATAAAGCTTGACTCTTTTTTTCTTAAGTTTCATGATTTTAAGCTTTATTCGGAACTTCGTCAACCAAGTACTTCAGGATTGGTGTCTTATTATTATTACTATTCGCATATTTAATTATTTCTTCTCTGACAAAATCTAGTTTAATCCTTTATAAGATATAATTCTCATGATTTATTTTTGGATCTTTAATGAGCTTTTTTGGGGGGTAAAGCATAACAGGTAAGAGTTCAAACATAGAAGGACCTTTTTTAAAAAAGTTACATTTTAACAGTTCCTATGAAATAATTTAGGAAAAACGTTCATAAAATGAAAAAAATAAAGATCTGCACCTCCATCCTTACTAAATTCAATTGACACAAGAACTGAAACCCAATGACCATGCACAAAGAAGAGAGCTCGTTGAATGAATTATTGAACATCAACAAGTGGATGACGGTTTTTTGAAAACATTTTTAAAGATGAAGCCCATCTTTACCTCGATGGCTTAGTTGAACGCCAAAATTGCCGCATTTGGGGTTCAGTGAATTATTATTATATATGTATACGTTATTAATGTGCACATTTGTTAATATTATATTTCTCAAATCGCTTTAATTGTGCATGTGGTATCTTCAAAATATATATGTATATATTTCTTTATTTTTTTGGAAGCAAAAATTTCTAATGAATTGCGAAAATAAAGATGATCTGTTGACAACAATATTCTCCACCTACTACTCCAGACTCAAAATATGTCATAGAGATTACAAAAAAATTATATTTCTGATATAAAAAGTATTGCCCAAGAATTATAATTATTTTTAATAGTCAAAATTTTGATCAAAAATAATGAATAGGATATGATTTTTATCACTTGCGATTAAAAATAAAAATAGCTCTTAATAAACATTCTAGATAAATATTTTGTATAAGATTTGATTTTTATTTTGATTCTGTTTAATTATCGATTTCAAATCCTGATAATTTTAAATCTATTTTGGTTATAAAATAAAAAAATAGAAAAATATACTAGTACGTAGGAGAGAAAATATCTCTTTAATAATATATATATATATATATATATATATATATATATATATATATATATATATATATATATATATATATATATATATATATATATATATACATTCAGGACGCAATCATTTTTAATAATATGTAGAACAGTCGACATACTTCCTTCAGTAATGATATATTTTAATATTTTTGTAGGATACCGTCGGAGTTTTCCTGAATTACTGGATATACGCCATCGTCTGCTTGGTTGGAGCAGTCAGCATATTCTTTTATCTACCAGAAACTGCGGGGCGTAGTCTCGGAGAGATCCAGAAGGACATGTCCAAGCAGGAGGAGTATATGTAAGGATGTCTTCTAACCAACTCTACCAAAAAGTAACCGTTATATATTGGAATAGTTACTTTTGTAACCGACCTCATAGGATATGGATCTCATCATGAATGAGCATTAGCGAACGAACTGTTAATATTCGTTGATATTCACGTTGTAGTTCCAACTATTGCAAGAATTCAGAAAAATAACGATTTTTTTTAGATTCTTATAAAACTAATCGTTTTTTTTTTAATTTTTAATTATAGAGCTTTCGATTTGTGCCTAAATTGCTCCAAATACAAGCTAGTTTTAAGGATAACTTAAATTATTTGTCAATAATAAACTAACGAAACCTCATAAAGGTTACACAGCGAGGTTCAGTTGAAAAAAAAAAAGAAAACCTAGCTCTGAAATTATTTATAATAGTGTAGAAAAATGCCTTAAAGAAAATTCCAAATTTCTCGGAGGGTGACGTTAGGTGTTCAAGAGGGGGGGGGGGCTATTTTTTTAAATACCTTGTTCTGTCTTTTCGTATATAACTCGAACACCATAAGACACAGATAAAACGTTTCGTGCCATAAATTAAGTTCAAATAATTCCTTAAAATAATGACTCTGTTAACTTTTAACTCTAATGACTTATTTAAACTTTCTAACGTAAAACATTATTACGTCATTAATAGCGACTGATTGAATGGTATAGTATCATTTTTACGTCATAACTGTTATCACTTATGGTTAACCTGTAATACTAGAAAGCCCCAGAGCTGGTTGTACATTTTCTTTTATCTTAAAAATTTACTTAGGAGATTTTGCAGGTACTCTATCGATTTATTGTAGTTATTGCAGGACTTATTTCTTTTTTATTTATTTTATTTTTTAACTAGTATATTTTTGCTTACTCTGTTTTTAAACAGTCTTCGTTCTTAAACAAAGATCAGAGTTTTAGTGTTTTAGTAAGAAGTTTAACAAAAGATTTCTTTTACAATATTTTTGTTTTGGCCGATTTATTTATAGTTTTAAACTTTTGAGTATTTATTAAATTATTTTTGACAAAACACATTAAAATTTTCTTGAATTATTTTTTTGTTTTCTCAACAGTGGAACATTATTGAATATGATATAATCTTTTAATGTTAACTTTTTTAAAAGCCAACTTATATTTTATAAAACCAAAAACTAATAATAATTTAAAAACGATCTTTTAAATATTAAAGTCAAACTTCTTAATAGTTAAAAAAAATAATAGCTGCAATTATTATAAATCTAATAAAATTAATGTGATATCATGAATATATGTAGAAAAGAAAACATAACAAAAAAAAATTGAATTTTCTACAACGTTGCTTTAGTAATACAATTCATTTATTTTTTTTTTAAATTATTTTAATGGAATTTACAACTGTATTACATAGAGAATACAATAAGTAAATGAGAAATTTGTAACATGGCATGTACAACATGAAGAGAAACTACCCATTGGTAGAACTCAAACCATTTATTTAAAATGTAAAATTTATTAATGATAATAAGTGGTTAGATATTATATTATTTTAAATAGAATAAAACAAATAAATAATTACGGAATCAAATGTTGAACATTAACGCAAATGGTCACATCGTTAACATATATGATATCCCCTTTCTGAACAATTCAAACTAGATTAATTTCTCATAAAAATATAATATTATTTACATTTGAAACTTGAAACTCATAAAATTAAGCAATCACAATTATAAATAAACATTATATAATATACAAAGTAATTAGTGAATTTAAAAAATGAACATTGCGCCATAAATAAAGGCATATTTCATCAATAGATTTCGTGTTAAAATAAATTATGGAGGCACATTGCATGCAAGTACTGTTGTTTAATTTCAATTGGCAATTGGCGCCACAGAACGTCTAGTAAAAATCTGTTACTATTTTACAAAACTATAGAATATATATCTTAAAATATAATATGTAAATAGTAAAAACACACTATATAATGTACATAATAATAAATGTTTCCAAAACTAGTTTAAATTGTCTAAAAATATATAATTAAAGAAGATGAATTAATTTTAGTTTTTTTATTATAATTATTATTATTTTAAAATATGTTGCTTCTTATTGTATCGCTTATTATATAATATTTATTGTAAATAATATTTTAAGTTACTATTATTGTGATACCAAAACTATAACACGTACACGTTGTTAAGAGTGTATAATAAATAATAATATGTATTTAAAAATAATATGATTTGTAATTAGGAATGAATAGGCTGTATTGCTTGCCATAATTACAAGAGTGGAACATATCATTATAGTAGATAAGATAAGTGCGATAAATATTAATACTAAATAATATAAAATTATAATTATATTGTGATTATAGATAAGATATACTATTAGAATAAAATGTTCAAAACTAAAAATTAAAAAAAATTAAATAATTCCAGCAAAACAGGATTGTGTCTCTAAAATAGAACAAATAATACAATAACCCGACAACGTTTCGCCTGTTCATACAGAAAAGAAAATGGGCCCAAGATCATTTTCTTCTACTATGAGATTGGATGTCATGGAATGATGTGATCTTGGGTTGGTTTTCTTTTCTGTCCTGATATTGCTTAAATTGGCGAAAAGTTGACGCGATATTTTATTCGTTACATACATTTTAGAGACAGAATACAGTGTGGTTGGAATTGTCTAATTGTAACTTAAGAACGATTTTCAGTTTCTTAGTGAGTTTTTACTAATTTGTATTAAAAAATTAAACATCCGTTAGTAAACTTTTCGTTTTAATTTTTTTTTTTTGTTAAATTGTGCTTCATGTATTCTCATAGTGGGGTATGATGTTAAAAACAACAAAGTTTAAAAGTTGTACCAGTCTCAACAAGCGTATAAATGAAATAATAAAAGGATCTTGAAAAAAAAGTTGAGTTATACAAAGGTAATAAATTGTTAACTTTCCGACACTTATCTAGAAAAAAGTTTCACAGATTGCTTAACCTCCTTAGTTTGTCGGTAAATGAGGCAGGTGAATATTTTCGATACTTAACGACGGATGATATTAAATCTAAAGTAGAAAAGAAAAAAAAACTAGTATATTTTTCTTTATTATTTTCACCGGAATTTTAAAATTTAAACTAAGCTTATTGACATGCAAGAAAACTTTGAGAAAGAAAGTTTTTAAGATCCAAGTAATAAAACTACCCCCCTACAGTTTTATACAATAGCGTCATCTTATACCACGTCCTCTTGTATTCATCGAACTTGGTGAGGTTATGGTATTTTAAAATTAAAGGAGACATTCTTCTTGAAGAGGATAAAATTTAATAAACCAAGAGATATTTCGTTTCTTGGAATCCCGGATTGAACGAAATTAATGTTAAGAACTAAGTTCTATGAGCACCATAGCTTTTTCAGACAATTTTACGTAAGTCTGAAATAATTTTGTAAACATGGAACGATTAAATATCTAAGTATATATATATATATATGTATGTATATATCATTTATTTATCATTAATATTATTTCTAATTTGGATCATATAAAATTATCTGAAAAACCTATGTTATCCATAGATGTAATATAGACCTCTCAACGCAATACTACGTAATTACTCAGTTCTTTTGTTATTAAATTGTGTGTGCGTTACATCGCACTCAATAACGACTTATTTAAAAATTCGGTGATTTAAAAAAATTCCTAGAAAAGGTAGCATATATATTGAACAGATACCAGAAGTTTCGTTTTTAAAATACAAATATTTTTATAGAAGGTCGTTTACAATATTTAATTTCCCTTAATTTTTTTAAAATTATAATTTGATATAGTTTTCGGTTAATAATTATTCCATCATAATTTTTTTCAAAAAATTTTTTGTTTATTATGAAGTAACTCTTCCATTTTTTATATATATATTTTTTTGTTTTTGTTCCATCCGCAGTTTTAGGCCCTTTGCCAATCTTCAAGGGATAATTTTTCTTTACAATTATATTTTAATTTGTATGCAATAAATATGCCACTTTTCACTAAAATTCATTTATAATCCACAATATATAGATTTATTCCATCCTATTCTAAGCATTTTTTTTTGTGGAATGTTGCTCGATAAAGTTTTCAATAGTCGTATATTAGAAAACATAATAAGTAACATTCCGTATGAGCATTCATTTTGTTAAAACATGATTAAATAAATGGCAATATTCCTGAAAATAAGTGAAAAATAAAAGAAAAAGAAATAGTCCATGAAGATGGAATAAAGGCATGAAATGTCAATGATGAAGTATAAAAAAAAAATTACAAACTTATGAATGAAGAGGTTACTTTCATGAAAATGGTACTATCTTATCTTGCCTAAAAATAATAATAATAACGATGTACTAATTGTATGATCACCAAATATTTCATTTACAAATCATTAAATAATTCTATCTGCATAATAATATTATACTTTAATCATGTTTCTGAATAATAAGTCTATTTCCTTACATTTTTAAATTACTCCATATTTACTTATATAAACTATCGAACATTAAAGAATTGAACTTATAAAAGATCATCTAAAATTTTGAATAGATATTTAATGATTTTTTTTTTAATCAGACCAAATTAAATTTTAATCCTAATTGAAAAGTCTAATTTTTTTATTTTTTTATTAATACTTGAAAATTCTAATAAATGAAAAAGAATTATAACGCTTGCTCCAATATTTTAAATAAAAAAATAAATTTTAATATTGTTGGTTAAATAATCAAAATGGGCTAAGGGCTGAAACATTGAAGTAAAGTCAAAATATAGTAGAACTATTTGAATTGAATGTGTGTTTTTATTATTATGAGTAAAGATTTTTCGTGAAACAAATATATGTAATAACCATTATGGATATTAATATTTTTTTAAATCATTTTTTAAATATACATATAATGAAAAAATAGCACGTTTATCATTTTTTTTTAATATTTTCATTTATGTTTTATTTCTTTAAAATAATTAAAAACAAATTTAATGCAACTGAATTGAGATAAATGAAATAAGTAATGGTTTTTTGTACTTCACTGTTTTACTTCCTTCGCTTCAAAGGAAACAATATCTCGGTTTTCCTGATTGTTGTTTATTCCAGTCGTGACTTGGCACATAAGGGAGAGAAATGGGACTTTACGTCAGCTAGTATGATGAAGGAGAGGAACAGTCATATTCAGGGGGGAATTTTTAGAGTAAGGAAAAATAATAAGAGAGAGATATTTACCATGGTAACAATGTCCTAGTCCTGTAACATATTAAAAACTAAATTGAATTTCCTTAATTACACACTGGTGCCATAAATTACAGTTTTAAAGTTTATTTCTCATTGAAATAAATGAATTGACTAAAAAACTATTTGCATTAAAAGAGGAAGTTAAACTATAGTATTAAGATATTGTAAATAATTTTAACAAGTAAATTATTATTTGAGGAAAAAAAAAACTAAATGTACAAAGTTACTGTTAGTGAAAATTGTAAATATTCATCATGATTTTTTTACTTTATTGTGTCATATTTACCATAACCCAGCAGTGATTTAATAGATAACTTTAGTCTGTGATCTATTTATAAATAATTTATTAATTGTTTTAATCTTACTATGTATAAAAAGCTCAATTTAATAAAATTGTTTGAGAAAAATAATTTTTATTTCATTACCTTCTCCTAATATTTGATTGACTATATTTACTTCAAAAAAACAAGGAAGAAAGAAATTATTATCATAAAACATATTACACTTTCCTTAAAATAACATTGATTTGACTAAACATTGAAATTATTCAAATTTAGGCATTTTAAACAGCTTTATTGTGATATAAAAAAAATTGTTCTATAACACATAAAAACTTCTAATCAACAGAAAAGTCATTAACAACTATTTATTTTTAGCTAATGATGTTTTTAAAAACACCAATTGTTTACATTAAAAAAATTTACAAGAAAAACTCATCCAAAATATATTCTCTTAGAATAAATTTTCTATAAACTTTATTTTTTATAAATTAAAATTTATTAAAATTAATGCCATGTAATATTTGCTTAGTAATGTTAACCTGAAATAAAATTTAAATTTAATAAACCTATTAAAAATTCAATAAAAAAATTCTTTGAGAAAAAAGAAAATAAGAAAATATGCAAATATATATATATATATATATATATATATATATATATATCAATGATGCAGGCATTAACTAAAAAGGACTAAAATAAAATAACAATTTAATAAAAAATATTCCACTTAAATTAAAATGTAAATATAAACATTATAACAACACACTCTTTGAGAGGGTTTTACATATACAATTACATTTACCAAATTACAATCAGATCAGTCTGATTTCTCGATTAAGGTAAAAAAACTGAAATTTGATACTGAAAAATATGAAACAAATATTTATTAAGTGCTGTTTCAGCCATTTAAGGACTTCTTCTGGGGTACAAAGGACTAGACACAATGAACATAAGATCATAGAAGTACATATAATAAATGTATACAAATAACAATAAACAAATGAATTATTTCTTGCTTCGTCAAAATAATTAAACAGAGGAATAATTTTCATTTAAATCAAAAATAAAATAAGACAAAAATGTTTTGACATTTCAGTAAATTTTAAACTGTTTAGACGACCATAAGATTTGCTTCTATAGATTTGAAAATAGGTCAATATGACCTGAAACGTTGTCAGATGTTGATATAATATAAGTCAAAGTGCGATAAGGTAGTTTGAACTAAAAGAGTTCCTTAAAATGGTAAATTTATATTGATAAACAATTTCATTATTTAAGAAATAATGGGCAAAAATTTAGGGGTAGCCATGCGGGCTAAGGTGCTTGCAATAGATAATCAAAGTTGAACTATGGCGAGCGTGGTTAGCACTTGGATGGGTGACCATCGCCCATGCCAAGGAAAGCAACGCATCGCGAGATTCCTCCTTCCCCCCTCCGGATGTGTGAGTCCCAACAGCCTACTGGAGACAATTCACACCTACTGGGCATATGATTGATGACACTACCCCATACATTAAATTGGGAGACTACATCCCGTGACCAAAGATCTTCATGGTCTGTTGCGCCAACCGAAAAAAAATATATATGTATATATATAACTAAATAAAAAAATAAAATAAAAGTAAGAATATCAACAAACAGGAATATAATTAACAATAACTAAAGGTTAATAAAACAGAAAATATCAATAATATGAAATGGCAAACATATAAAATTATATCATCAGTGTTCAGTAAAAAGACTGAATTAAAAAATGGAGTATATTCATGTTTTTTGAGCCACAACTTATTCAGTTATCATAGAATGAAATATCTTGTGAATTTTCTCACGTGGAACTGGGAAAAAACATAAATTTCTAAAAGGTCTTGTCAAATGTACAGAAAAATTCATAACTTTAAGATTTATCTTGCTCGCAAAACACTTAACAGTATAATTATTAGGTAAAAAATAATGATAAATTTCAGTAAAAATCAAATTTACTAAAATCAATTTTTAAAACTTTCTATTTCCTACCATTCAGATGCTACTTGTTCATTTTATTTATGCATATGTGTGTGTGTGTGTGTGTGTGTGTGTGTGTGTGTGTGTGTGTGTGTGTGTGTGCGTGTGTGTATTTTTGTTCTTTTTTGCTGCAGTAGTAACCCTACAGAAGAGGGTTATATTATTTAGAAATGTGCATACGCATGTGCAAAGGCATATTAAATGGATTACATTATCTTAATTTTTTTTTTTAAATAACTTATTACAAAATATTTTGGCTTACATAATGCGATTTATTCATAGAAGTAAAGCTAAAGATACTTAAAAAGAATGGTACTTAAAATATATTACAAAAGAGAAAATTAAAAATTGGATAATTAATTAAAATCAATAAGTAAAATAATAATAAATTATACAGTATCAGATGAGTGAACAGTATCAAAATGTACTCTAAAAGAGAAAATATAATAAATCAATGAATGAATAGAAAAACACTTGATTAGGCAAAAGTAATACAAAAATTATATGGAGTAGAACCTAATTTTACAACTCTACAAAGGAATATATACAAAATAATAAAAATTCCGTTCGATTTAAACAATAACTAAAACAAAAAAAGGAATAAAATATCTATGAATAAGCTACACTAAGTCTAAAACATTATTTTTTAAATATTCATCTTTATAGATTTATTTAATAAAAGTACTATGCTCTCATGTTATGTTGTAATATTATGCTATTAATAAATTCATTTAACAGCTTCTTGTATTTTTAGTATAGTAGGGGTTCGGGAACAGGCCATGTATCCCCTTTCGATAAAGAGAATTTCAGGAAGGTGTTCATATAATTGGCAGTCGTTTAAAATGTGTGAAAGTTTATGGAGTTAGTCCGTTGCAATCTGTCGTTTTTAAATGGAATCTCTTTAGATATTGGTTAGTCGGGTCATGATCAGTAAGGAATTGTGCTAGTTTATGAATGCTACATTTTTGGTATATTGTAGTTTTATGTGGTAATGTTTGGAATGTATTTATGTAATGGTTGTCCTTTGGTAGATTGTGGCCAATGTCTGTTCCACTCTTCGACTAAATCATTCCATAAGAGTTTTTAACATAAGTAAATTTTAATTAATATATATTTATATTTGTATCTCAATATTATTCAAGTGACCTAATTCCCAATTTAAATAATTATGTTAAAATATAATACTCAAAGGTCGATTTAAGAAATTGTATAAATAAATAAATAAATATATATATATATTTACAACTTTTCTTTAATTGACCTTTGAGTATTAAATTTAAACATAACCATTTAATTAGGAATAAGGTCACTTATTAATTATTCAATAAACTACTGAATGTTCATTTCCTCTATGTTTATTGACGTTTTGATCCCGGTATTTTTCTTTTTATAAGTTAACGATGGGATCCTCCTCAAATAAATAAAGACACCATTAATACATAAATAATTTTTTAAGAGGAGAATGGTTGAGGTTATCAGTAAACAAAAAAATAGTAAAAATAAATAAATATATTTTTTTTTTTTTATTTGACGTTCAACCCAAAGTTCAGGCCTTCATCAGGACTGGTCAAATGTAGGATGCCACAAGACTCCGCAGTCGGGTCTTGTTGCATACTTTGTATATACTTGTTTATTTTTAATTTTTTTTTTTTTACTGATCACCCCAACCATTATCTTCAATTACAACTACAATCAACCATTAATCCACAATTATATAATTTTAATTTTGTATATATATATATATATATATATATATATATATATATATATATATATATATTATATATATATATATATATATATATATATATATATATAATTTTAATCATAAGTTATTAAACATTAAGGAAAATGATTATAATACTCATTTTTACTTGATAACTAGGATAGTGAATGGACCAGAGAATGATGAATTTGTATCCTAAGAGATGATAAAAGAAAAAGAGAGAGCTCCGATACTAGACTGTGATTATCTGACATGAGTAGCATCCCTGAATTGGAAGGAATTAGGAAGAAAAGGCTAGAAAAAGTTAGAAAAAATTGATTATATGGTAAAATTTTGAATTTTTAAGTTGAAAAACAGACTAATAACTTCAATTATACATTGATATTAAGATTTTTATATCGACAGCCATATTGCAAAACTAAAAATACAAAAGTAGATGATAAAAACTGCATGTTATAACAATGGAACAATTGTAATAATAATTAGATATGGAAAAGAAATAAACTGAAGAAGCAACCACAATATATTATTGATATATTTTCAATTAACCTATTTTCCATATGTAATTATTATCACAGCTGTTCCATTGTTACAATTTTTTTTACTTTATGAACTTTCAGGTTTTGTTCAATTTTTATTGTATGGTAATGATAAAGAACTAATGTTTCAAGTAACTTTATTAGTTTGAATTTGATTGATTGGCTAAGATTCGCCAGAAAAGTTTAAAACTGTAGGTTCCAAATTTTTTTTTTCAAGCATTTGTAGCATAGTCGTTGATACATTATAATCATATTTGTATAATTATCAAATTTGTATATAATAATAAAAATAGTTACCAATTACAAATTTGATAATTATACAAATATGATTATAATGTATCAACGACTAATAATAAAAATAAATAATAATAAAAATAGTTACCAATAAATTAAAACTTTCTCAATTAACTATTATAAACTTTTGTAATTAATTATTACTTATAAAAGTTCTAAATGATGTTTTGTCCTAACTTTTATATTTCCAATTTAATCTAATGATTCAGCCTTTAAGCCTATATTAAGGAAGTTTTTGTATACAAATCCAGGCGTTTTGTAGTTATAACTAGAGATCAGATTTTCATGTTATTGCACATTTTAATTTTTTACAAAGGTTTAATAGGATTTCGATGTATTAATTTTATAAATTAAACAGAAAAGGTGATTTTTGCACGTTTTTATGTTCAAATTAGACAATTTTACACATTTTGGGTTTCTACTACACAATTTTGCACATTTTGGGTTTTTTTACTGCACAAAGATCAAGTCTCTACTTATAACTATTATTTATCTATTAATATTTTTTTAATTGGTTAAGTTAATTTATTACAATAATAATATTGCATGGCAACTTGTGTCATCAAAGGTTATGAAGGGCACACATTTTTATGAGGGTTACTAATGTTTTAGAGAGGCACATTTTTAATGATACAAAGTAAAAAATAAGCTAGATTTTTATAATTATAATTTTATTTATACCGTTTTTTAAGACAACATTATAATTTCTTTAAGATAAGCGGTAAGGGTCATCCATCGCCTTTATCAGGTATGAGCACGACACTGCTTATACATGCTGTGCATAAAATCTCCTCTGTAAAATATGTTTGTTTTTTTATCTGGAAACTACTGTTTGTATAGTTAATATATATTTTTATTTATACATTTATGTCACAATTAAAATAAAAGTACTTTGTTTTATTTTTTAATCACTATGTTTGTATATATTGTAAATTCTTTATATTAATAACAACTGCAAACTTCAATTTTTGTATACTACTAAAGAATGTTACCAATAAATTAAAATATAAATAAAATACGTTTAAGTTGTAAGAATAAAGTTATAATTACAGCTACTTTTGTTCTATAAATGTATCCTCTATCATCCATTTTTCAACAACTTACTTCTTTTTTTTCCACATAAATTACCAATATTAATATTTTTTTTAATGATTTAATTTTTATGTTATGATTCATATTAAAATAGGAACCTCTTCAGAACTGTAAAAACAATATAAAAATAATATTGCAGTTCCCATTGTCAAGTCTTGAGTAATAATTTGTAAAACTTTGTATATTGTATTGTAGAACAGCCCCCAAGGACTTGTGTTTCTAAACTCAGCACTGATTACATTGATGGAATCCATCAATTGATTGTCTCCAGCAGGAATGATCAGCTATATATAACTGTTTTTAGGATCAACAGAAAAGTTAACAATCGTGAAAGGTTACAAAACACATGAACGAATTATTGAAGGAAGTATTTATCTACTGAATTGTTAGATTTAAAAATAGAAACATAGAAATATTGATCGACAGTCAAATAAATACGTTAAGTAAATAGGGAAATAACAACTTACTGGCTATATCCAGTGAGTCTATCTACTCTAAAAGCCGATGGGTCCGTCGAGCCATTGGTGTATAAAGTAAAACACTGAATTCCATCGCTGAGTTTAAAAATGGTCCGATCAATTTCTAAGAGTTTTTATGACCTTAGAAATGAATTTAGGAACTTGCCACTTATTTCTTAACCATTTAAATCTGTAATTCACAATGAAAACTCATTATGATTTCATAGAACATAATTATATTTGGGACAAAGCCACAGCCATATAAAGAGTAAGGTTGACAATTTTATCAAAATAAAAATTCAATAATTTATTAATATATAATTTTTATCAATACATAGCCTTTCATCAAAATAAAACAAAGCACATATGCCAATTAATAATAATAATAACTAATTGGCCCATGGGAATAATTCTCATAGCATATAGGTCAGTTAAAACATTGACAATATAACATACATATGTAGAAATAAGTTAGTACAATGTATTGTGTGATAGAGAAAACATTTTTCTTTTTCTCAGTAGAATAACATTATTTCATTCATAATAATAACCCAATACCCAATACATTACTATAGGCTGTACTTTGTGGGTGCACTTCATTCGCAAATAAAGTTTCATTTTTTCTTTTGATATATCATTCATAAAAATCCATCGCTCCTGAGAGCCGGAAAATGGACCAAACTGCATAAAACGTAAATTAAAAATTATAAAGATAGGTTTTTTCTTCTGTATTCCTCCTCATTATTAATTTAGTAATTATTTAGTTGAAGAACGCATTATGCGTGATTCATAATCACTTTGGTCAACTTTGTTCATGAAACGCCGAAAAAACATGACGAAAACGTCTTTAGGAAAACCAGGATGCATTCGGTACTCGATGAACAAGTTTGACCGAAGTGATTGTGAACCAGGCGTAACCCGTGCGATCTTCAACTAAATAATTATCTTAATTTTTCTTATAATTTTATTGTGACATATTTATAAATTTTTGTTGTTAATGATTAGTTTCGCACCTGTATTTTTTATTTTATCTGGTCAGCTGATTAATTATAACCTTACTCAGTTTTGTTACCTCATCTTTCTGCAATTGGATGTTGTGGAGTGATGTAATCATATGTTTCTTTTATTTTCTATTCTGATGATACCTGAATTGGCTAAAAGTTTTGGGATTATTTTAATCTTTACTTGGATTTTACAGACATAAGGCTGTGTGGTTGGAATTTTTCCAATTATAATCTAACATTGAATTCCCATCATTTGGGGAGATTTTTACTCGTTTGCAATAATAATAACTTGATTAATTAATTCTTTTTCCGAGCTTACATTAATATAGTAATAAAATTAAGAACTAAATATTCAACACAAATAAAAGATAATGTTAAATAAAGAGGAGATGGGATCGATCTGAACCAGGACAATTATTGGTAACCTTTCATGATGGTAGTTATAACTAACAATTATGTGCAGATACAATATTAAATATAATTATAGTTCTAAAACAAACCGCCATCTTAGGAACCCTACTGGGAATTCTTATACATGAATAAAGCGACAAGAAACTGCTGGCAGTTTCTTATCACTACAATGCTTACTTGACAAACGTTCTAAATTTCCAATATGCTACAAACAACTCATGAACTTTACCAATTATACATATAAAGTAACATGAGCTTCCTAGAGACAAAGAAATTTTTAAAAATCATTAGTAATATGCTAAAAACATTAGTATTACTTCAGTAATACATTCAAAAACCAAAACAAAGGATATAACCTATAAAAAAATCTAGAGACCATATCTTTGCTTATAATTTTCCGATTTTAACGATTTTTTTTAGAAAATTCCGTAAACTTTTAAATAACCATATACAATATCAACAAAAAAGTTTATACTTTTTGAGTTATTCAAAATCTAATTTTACCATCCCCCGTAACTTTTTTCCAGCTTCTTTTCGTTGAAATATGTTTTATAGATAAATTTAAAGAGCATCGAGAACAAGACTTTAGCCAAGTTTCATTGAAATTGGTACATTCGTTTAGGAGCTACAGTCTATAGCAACGCAGGTTTTTCGGCTGCCATTTTGAAAGTAAAAGGTAGATAATAATGTCGATGAAGGAGGATCAACCTCGGGTTATCTCTGATTTTATATCCAAATTTGAAAAAAAAATCGGTCCAGTAGTTTCGGATAAAACGCGCGGACGGCTGACGGCGTCACCAACAAGCGGACAAACAAATTTTTATTCATTTTTCGAATTCTACGCATCCTGAAACGTGAAACCTCAAATTTTGAGAGGGCATTAAGATTTTGAATTTTTTGGTCGATCACAATGGTTGACTATTGAAAATAATAAACCAAAAATATGATGATAATTATAATTGGTAATTGGTTGACTGTCGTGGATAATGAAGATATTTATCTCTTAGTTCTTAGTCATTATTCTAACAATTTCATTTTACTTTATATTTATTTATTTATTATTATTATTATTATTATTTTTTTTACCATCACTACTTATGTTTCTCATACCTTGTTATCTGGTTATTTTCTCAGCCCTGATGAAGGCCTGAACTTCAGGTCGAAACGTCGGCATATGTAAAAAATAAATATTATCATTTTTTTTTTTGCCTTCCTTTTTGACTGACCACCCCAACTATTCTTCTCTTCAAAAATATGATGATTTAAAAATATAAAAATAAATTACAACTTTTAATGTCAGCATTCATATTTACAATTAATTATTAGGTATTTATTGAAACAAATATTCAACATTTCATAGAAAACCTTTCGATCTGCAACAGGCAACAGTAATACTATAGTCAAAGCCAAAGGCGGATTTACGGGGGGATGGCTTTCGGGCTGAAGCTCTCCACCCCAAATTATAAAATGTAATTATGGTAAAAAAAAAAAAAAATATGTCTTAAAGTATTATTGCTGGTTTAATTACATTTAACAGGACTTAAATAATCACTTAAACACCATTTCATATAGGTAGTTGGTATCTTTCTGTTTTTCCAATGTAATTATCCTTATGTATATGAAAAAAAATGCTTCCGGGTTGAAGCCCCCCCAAAATTAAATCCTGGATCCGCTAGTGGTCAAAGCGATGGCTGCTAAAAAAGGTTATGTTAGACATAGGTGAGGTGGGACCTTCACACCACAAGTGACGTCACGTGGGCACTACTGTGGTTAATCTCTATTACCAATGGTTAATATCTTCACAGATTAACATCACTTGTAAATTTCAATAAATGAACAAAAAAAAATGTTTTATTATGAATATATATTGTATATTATAAAATTCCTTTTTTTCCTCTTTACCAATGTAAATTGTAAATATAAGAAGCTTCTACTTAGAATCTAAAACATCTCTAAATATTCTATCATTGCGAAGCTTATTAAAGAAGAAGAATAGGACTCTCAGTAACAAATGGACTCTTCAGAAGAGTGTACTCTGCCAAGACCACAATTACATTGACAGTGGAGGAGAGGAGTTTTCCCTCTTCCCGAGAGCTTTTAAAGCGGGCAGAACCTTCCTCATAAAAATTTAACCTGGTCCAGTCCCGAAGGATGAATCTTGTATTAGCTTTCTAAATGCAAATCCACTCCGGCCAGGTACTGTCTATAATTAGTCCAGGATTCTCCGGACGGCTTTAATTGCAATAAAAAATAAGTATATTTGGGGCCGCACCTCATGATGTATTAATGGTACATTTATCATAAATCCGTATACAATAAACAGGCACATTTCAAGTATGTGAAACTCAAATGTTAAAGTATAAAATAAATCAAAATTATCTTAATAATAAAATAAAGAAAGGAGACGGTCCGGGGTGGTGGTCATAAATAGGCTAAATAGTGGTAAAACTATTTTTACTAAAATCCAACGTTTCGACCCGACTTCGCAGGTCTTCTTCAGGGCTAGAACGGACAAGATACAAAAAGATAGAGAATTGTAGAAGTTACATAATATTTAGAGAAAAAAATTAAAAACAATGTGAATAAGCCTACTAAAATTATAAACAATAAGTACATTAAAATATGAACAGAGTAAGCTAAGTAAATTGTTGTAGTGTAATATGTAATAAATGCAAATGTGAATATACTTCTACAGATCCAAATATAATTATAATTATATTTGGTTGTACATATGTACAATTTATTAATTATTAAATAATAATTATTTAATTTAATTAAATAATAATTATTAATTTTTTCCCTCTCTATACTTCTAAGTTAGTTCTGCAATGTATGTAAATGAAGTTATTTCTATATTTATATTTTAGTTCTTCCATTTTTGTTTTTATTCACATTGTACATTGTATATGTATATACTTATAATTTAATATTTCATTGATATAGTACTTTAATATTGTATCCATCCGTATCTTCAAATTTTAGATACTGTAATTTTCTAGGTTTTCCCCCATTACCCAAACAAGTCAGCTTCCCCAATATCTGCCCTCACCCTGGTTTTCCAATTCTAAGTGACAC